TTCCCTCCCTTCCCTTTATAAGGCCTTTAAAAGTGGACCTTAGTGTGATTTAGCCTGAATGAGTCACATGCTACTGCATGCTACCCAATTGCTCATGCTTTGCTACTCCCTTGGTGTAAATGGTTAAACAAGCCAGGAAGCTTTGACTTCTCATTCCATCCATATTGGGGATCGTGATTTCTTGCTCCCTAACAAGTCATGATTTTTAGTCAACCTTAAGTCATGGTTTGTTTTTGGCTTGGAACTTGTTAGGGACCAGCAAACCATAGTTCTTGGTTCTGACATAACAGGAAACCATGGCTTCCTTATTGGCTTTATGCTGCTTCCAGCAAGGGAACATCAGAGTGGGAGTGATCACACAGCATATTGTTTTTCCTTGCTAAACTAGATTTTCTGGCTTACTGCAAGCACTGCCACTCTCCGTTTGGTCCCCAACATGACCCAAAATTCCATGTGCAAAGTACTCCGTTCATTTTCTGGGAAAGGAAGTAGCTCCATGGATATGCAACGAATGGATTTATCTTTCTGCAAGCTGAGCATTCTCTACTCATAAAAGAGAACACGAGGAAAACACTTGCTTATTAAGCAGAGCATCAGTGGAGTCGGTCTCTGTATTCAGCAAACACTGAACATACCCAGGATCTTAGAAAGTCCTGCAAAATCAGATTTGATTGCGCTGACAGGTTTCTCTCCTCTCTTTTTTTTTTTTTTTTTATTAAATATTTTATTAAGGATTTTCTTGTTTTACAGAAGTAAGTGTACTGCCTCGTATATATATTTTTTTCATGTAACATTTTTACAAATCCATTTCATTTGTTGAGGCATTAGGGGGGAGAAGAAAAAAAAAAGGGGGGTGGAGAGAGGGAAGATGGATGGGGGTGGGGTCGGGTGGCGGTGTTTCTATTATGTTTAATGTATGTAGAGTTTGGTGTCAGCGTTGCTTGTGTTGTTCACTTGTGTTCCTTTCGTGGTGAGAGAGGTTGGGGTTGGCCTAGGGTGTGATTGTCTGCTTGTGATTGGCTGTGGTGATCTTTGTTTTCGTGTGTGAGTGAGGTGGGTGGGTGTTTTGGATCAGGTTAGCCATATTGATTTGTATGCTGTTGGTGGATTATTGTCATTGTCCTGTTGGGCTGTGTATGTGATAAAGGGGAGCCATACCAGGGTGAAGACGTCTTCTTCTGTTTGTCCCCGTGTCAGTTTCAGTTTATTAGTTAATTTTTCTAGTAGGGCTGTTTCCCATACTATTTGGTACCATTGGTCCATGTTTACTCCTGACAGGTCTCTCCAGTGTCTGGTTATGGTGTTTCTGGCTGCTGAAAGTAGGTGGGTTATGAGTTCTTTGTGGTGTAAATGGGCATTGTTGTCTTGGAAGATGTTTAGTAGGGCCAATTCTGGGGTGATGTCTATTACTTGCTTAGTTATTTTACATATTTCTTGTATGGCTGTTGTCCAGAATAGTTGGATTTTGGGACACTCCCACCACATGTGGAGGTATGTGCCTGTGGAGGTGCACCCTCTCCAGCATTTTGGTGAGGTTCCTGGGTGTATTAGCGCTAGTTTCCTTGGTGTTAGGTACCACCTGTAGGTGAGTTTCAGTGTGAGTTCTTTTCTTTTCGTTGATATGGATTTAAAGGGGGTTTAGACCACATTCTGGTCCATTGAGTGGGGTTAATCTCATAGCCTATGTCATTCTCCCATTGTTTTTTGATTGCATCTAGGGATTTGCGGGATTTTGGAGTAGTATTTTGTATATTGCGGATACCGTCCCTTTACCGTTTCCTTTTGTTGTTAGGAGGAGGTTTTCGAAGGTTGTCAGGGGCCTAGTTGCTGCTGATTTTACTGTTGGGTTGTTTAAGAGGGCATGTAGTTGGTGTTGTGTTAACCAGGGCATTTGGGTGTCTTCTAGTTTGTCTTGTATTTCTTGTGTTGACAAGGGTTTGTTATTTTTATAAAAGTCTATTAGGCGATATAAGCCTTTGGTTTGCCAGGTTTTTATCTGGAGGTTTTGTGCTGCATGGTGGAATAATGGGTGGTACGCCAGGGGGATTAGTGGGGATGGGGTTGGGGATAGTTTGCCTATTTGTGTTTTCCATGCTTTGAGCATGGTCTGTGTGTACCTGTTAAGTGTTGTGGGAATTTTCTTTAGTTTGTTTGGGAGGAATGGGTATGTTGTGGTGCAGGTATTTTCAATTGTGTCCCTCTCTAGGTGTACCCATTGTTTTGTCTCATCTTCTAGTATATATGGGATTATATGGCGTATTTGGTTGGCATTGTAATATGCTTCTATGTTGGGGATTCCCCATCCTCCTTCTGAGGTGGGGAGGTGCAGGTATTTGAGGCTTATTCTTGGTTTTTATGTGAGAAGATGAAAGAGTGTAGTTTTCTCTGCCAACTGCGAAGTTGGGTTGAGGGGATCCAGATTGGGAGGGTTTGGAATAGGTAGGTTAGTTTTGGGAGTGTGATCATTTTGATCATGGCTATTTTGTCTGAGAGAGTGAAATTCATGTTATTCCATCTCTTTAGGTCTTTGTTAATTTGTCGCCACAGGGGCTTGTAGTTGTGGAGGTACAATTTATTGAGGTTTCTGGTTATTTGTACCCCTAGGTATCTGAACTTGGTGTGGCAAAGTTTTATTTTGGTGACCTTCGTGAGTTCTTTTTGGGTGTGAGGAGGGGTGTTGAAGCACATAGCTTCTGACTTTGTAAAATTTACCTGTAGGCCCGACACCATTGCAAATGTGTTGAGTTCTCTGATTAGGGAGGTTGCTGTGCTTATGGGGTCTGGTGTTGTGACCATTAGGTCATCTGCAAAGAGCCCTAATTTATAGGTTCTGCCTTTTATTTCCACTCCCTTGATGTCTGTGGCTGCTCGGATGCTGATTGCTAAGGGTTCCAGAGCCAGGATAAATAAGAAGGGAGACAGTGGGCATCCTTGTTTCGTGCCTCTTTGGATAGCTATAGTATTAGAATCCATATTGTTAGTTCTGCATTTTGCTGAGGCTTGGGAGTATATTTGTTTGAGAATTTGTAGGAAGTTGGGGCCAAATTTCATGTTAGTTAGTACTGCTAATATGTATTTCCACTCTAAGCAATCAAAGGCTTTGAGGATGTCTAGGGACATAATTGTCAATGGGAGTTTGGTTGCCTTGCTGTGTTCGATCAGGTTCAGTAGTTTCCTGATGGGGTCTGTTATATTGCGGCCAGGGACAAAGCCAGTCTGGTCTGGGGCTACTAACTTGTGTAGGAAGGTTTTTAGGCGGTTGGCCAAGATTGATGTGAATATCTTGTAGTCTTGGTTTATTAATGAGATTGGGCGGTATGATTCTACTTTGAGGCTGTCTTTTAGTGGTTTTGGGATGGAGACTATTTTGGAGTGGGTCCAGGTTTTGGGGATGGGGCCCCCTTTTATGATGTCGTTGAATAGGCGGGTCATGTAGGGCATCAAGGGTTCTTTGAATTTCCTATAGAATTCTGCTGTGAAGCCGTCTGGGCCTGGGGCTTTGTGTGGTTTCAGGTTTTTGAGGACCGCATCTATTTCCTCTGGGGTGATAGGGCTGTCCATGAATTCCTGTTCCTCATCAGTTAGGGTAGGCATGGACAGTCCTGCTAGAAATTTTTGATTTCCTTCTCTGGTGGGTTATGGGAGGTGTATAGGTTGGAGTAGAATTCTGCAAATTCTGAGTTTATTTCTTCGGGGAGAATGTTATGTTGCCGTCTTTTTGGTGATGCAGTGTATTCTTGTTTTGAGTGCTTTTTTCCTGCATCTATTTGCTAGTAATCTGGAGTTTTTCCTCCATATTCGTAGAAACGTTGTTTAGAGTATAGAATGTTGATCATTGTTTTGTTAATTTCTAGGGAGTCTAGTTCTCTCCTTTTTTGTTCCATAAGTTTGAGGAGTTTTTAGATCCTGTTTGTTTGTAGCGTGATGAGAGGGCTGTGATGTCTTGTTCTATTTTGCTAATTTTTGAGGAGGTTTGTTTTTAAGGAATGTTTTCTCTTTTATGCAAGCTCCTCTGGTGACCGCTTTCATTGCGTCCCATAGGAGGGGTTGTTATATTGTTTACATCGTTTTCCTTGAAGTAGTTTTGGAGGGTTTTTGTGAGACTCTCTCTAATTTGTTTGTTTGTAGTTAGGATGGGACTGAAGGACCATGATGGGGTGGTTTGTGTTCCTTCTCCTATTTTAACGATGACTTCTACTGGGGCGTGATCTGTGATTTTAATGTTACCTATGTTTGTTGATTCCACTGAGGGATCAGACCCTGTGTGAGTAGAATGCTGTCCAGTCTGGATACTGTATCATGGCGTCCCGATTGGAATGTATGGCTGATGTCTCCGGGTTTTGCTCACCCCAAATGTCGTAGAGACCCCTGCTTTTTAGCATTTTTAGTAACTTGTAAGGGTTCCTAGTTGTTGGGGTTTCCTTCGGAGGAAGGTTGCCCATGGGGTTGTAGGGTGGATATCTTTCAGGGCTATGCCTTTCATATTTAGATTGAGGTCCCCTCCTAGGATTGCTTCCCCTTCAGAGAAGGAGAGGAATTTGTTTAGTGTCTTCTGGAAGAATTCTAATTGTTTCGTGTTTGGGGCATATATGGAGCCAATTGTCAGTTTGATTTTGCCATCTAGTGTCCCTTTAGCGAAAATGAATCTGCCTTTTTTGTCCTTGAGGACTGTTGTGGCAGTGAAGTTCAGGTCTCTACTGAGTATTATGGCTACACCCCGAGCTTTCCCTGAGCCTCGTGCGACGGTTTCTCTCCTCTCTGATGCAGAGGTTGCATCAAAGGTTCCTGCTGAGGCGCTGGCAGGTTTCAACCAGCACTTTTTATCAGAACTGCAAAAAAATAATAATAATGAAAAGTTTCCTGAAATACAGAAAAATGTTTATGCACTGGGAACATAGGAAGCTGCCTTATATGGAGTCAGACTATTGGTTTATATAGCTCAGTGTTGTCTGCACTGATTTGGCAGTAGCTGTCAGGCTCAGGTCTCTCCCAGTCACACCTGGAGATGCCTGGGATTGAACTGGGGACCTTCTGTATGCAAATCAGATGCTCTACCACTGAACTATCACATTTCCCCATTACATACCGTATTTTTCGCTCTATAGGATGCACCCAGCCATAGGATGCACCTTGTTTTAGAGGGGGAGAACAAGAAAAAAAGATTCTCCCCCTCTTTGCGCAGTGCCCCTTCAGCGAAGCGGCAGGAGAAACGGAGCCCCTCTGGAGGCTTCAGGCGGCTACCTTGGAAGCCTGGAGAGCGAGAGGGGTCGGTGCGCACCAACCCCTCTCGCTGTGGAGGCTTCAGTGAAGGCAACCCGAAGCCTCCGGAGTGCAGCAGGAGTTTCCGCTGCGCTCCGGAGGCTTCGGGTTCCTTTCGCTGAAGTCAGGAGAGCAGGACTCTCTTGGCTTCAGCAAAAGGAGAGGCAAAAGGAAAGGCTTCAGCGAAAGGAGAAGCCTTCCCGCTGCTCCCTGAGCTTGTGGGGCTGGCGGTTGTGGAAGCCCGGCTTTCCCCCACTGCCAGCTCCAAAGAGCAGGTCAGGGAGCAGCGGAAAGGCTGCGCGCAGCCTTCCCGGTGCTCTCCGAGCTTGTGGGGCTGGCGGTGGGGGAAGCCTGGCTTTCCCCCACCCCCCAGCCCCAAAGAGAAGGTCAGGGCTAGCGGGGGAAGCCCAGGGACCACACATTCGCTCCATAAGACGCACAGACATTTCCCCTTAGATTTTAAGAGGAAAAAAGTGTCTTATGGAGCGAAAAATACGGTAACTAAGATACATTCTGATCTCATTTACTGAGGCTGTAGAATTCTGCTCTGTGATCCCTTTTTAAGAAATGGGGATGGGACAGGACAGAGGGAATCCATGAAATGTTGTGCAGCATCTGTCATGTATAGGATGATACCCAGACAAGCATCTCTCTCTTTTCTAATAGGCACTGCTTTCGGAGTTGGGCCAGTCCAAATATAGGCAAGAAAGGAAGGCAATATTGCCTTCAAGAAGTTTCCTCATTACTGCTCCCTCCTTTGAAAGTCTTAGATTAATCTGGCCTTCGCTAGATTAATCTGGCCCTCTAGATGTTTTGGACTACAACTCACATCCTCCCCAATCAGCACATCCTTGGATTGAATATTTCCAGATTTGATCTTTTCTCCATGATCACTTTGGAGCACACCAACTATTAGGACACCTCATTGGCTACCCTTGCAAAACTCTCCCCAAATTTCTTCCAAGTATCTATTAAGAAGGACTGAGATTCCATTAATGCATTAAAAAGCAACTCTAGCTCTCCATTGAAAGACACTAGTATCTTAATTTTCTTAATCATCCTTCAGCTTTTCAGTGTGAATAAGTTATTCAAAATGAGCTAAAGATTTGGGCACACTGTGTTCTCTCAGCCTGTGTGATAAAGTATGACCTAATTTGTAAATATTGATAAAGCTGAAGTCTCATTCAGCACTGTAATTTCCGCACAAGAAAGTAACTCTGTTATCTGTAATTAAATCCCTTTATCTTGTCAGGTCACTTTGATTCTAGACCCTAAAATCATACAGCTCCAGAAAAAAGGTAGTATGTAACAATGGGGTGAGTAGAATGACATGTGGTCTTGAAACAAATGTGAGATTTCCCCATACTATCGGAACTCCATTGTCAAACACTCTTCGTTTCCTTATACCAAGTGAGTCCTTCTATTTTTTTTTTTTTATAATTGATATTTATTGAATTTTCAAAAAATAACAAAAATTTCCAAAAAAAATTTAAGGATACAAAAAACAAAAATAGTACATAAACAAAAAAGAAAAGAAAACCCAGCCACAAAGAAAAAAAAAGAGAAACAGAAAAACAAAAATATAAAGTCCTTTACAATCTCTATTGACTTCCTTTCTAGACTTCCTCCTCCTCCCTCTTTTGTTTCTTAATTTTTAATTTTTACAGCAAATCCTTTCTGTTTTTTCATAACAATCTGTCATTACGTTTCCTTATTCTATTTCCCTCTTGTCATATAAAAACTTTAAAATTCATAGCTTATATTCAATATTTACCAAATTCTTGCATCATTACCTTTTACGAATCATTTACCAATCCTTACTTAAGCCATGTAATTTCATTCAACATCCTTCAAACATTTGTAAGCATTCCCAATATTAAAAATAAAAAGGAAAAAATAATAAGTCAAATTCAGTCCAGTCAGCTTCCAACCTCCCTCCCCTGGACCCGGGATTGTCAGTCCTTTTAACCTCGATAGTCCGGCTCCTTAACCTGGTTGTCTCGTATCCGAGGCCCTCAAGTCTCTTTCTTGCCCCTTTCGCCACTCTTGTTGATGATTCCTTTCCAGTCGTGGATGCTCCAGCAAGAAAATGCTTTTGACCCTTTGCAGCAAGTCCATCCCAAACCCATTGCCCAAGCCAGACAGCAAATAATACCACTTCAAATTTCCACAAAGCTTGGAGACTTCGGCTACTCCAATCTTCTGATAGCCCATCACCAGACTCGGAAGGTCCAAATAACCATATGGAGGGGGGTCGATCCATCCCCCATTTCCAAATCTGACCACATTTCATCTTTCCGAATCTGGTTTGTCCTAAGTTCATTTATCAAGTTCAAAGGCTGATCTTGCCCGTCCAAAGGTCCCTCCATCTCTGAAGCCTCCGTCACTACAGCAGGTTCATATGCTTGTATAGCCTTTAACTGAATTTCATTTGTTTGCTGCTGTGCTCTGGTAACTTCCATCATCAAGGTCGTCTCCTGACGCATCTGGTCCAGCTGGGCACTTAGTTTTGAAAAACCTTCCAGGAACAATTGTTCAAGCCTTTGTACTAGCATTGTCCTTCAAGGTCAAAGAAAATTCTTTCCCACGAGAATAGTCCAATAGTCCTTCTCTTTTAATCTCTCTGCGTTGTAATTTCACTAAATTCCACTAGATGGAATTTTTTTTTTTTTAAAGGAATAAAAGCAACAGCAACAATCTTTCTTTTCCAGAAACACTTTATCCAAAATTCCCCTTCCAAATTCAAGAGGCAACAGTAGAATCAAAATGTTACCCTTCTTTTAACTAACTGTCGAGCTGGATAAACTTCAGAACGTCAATTCTGACAGCCCGCTCCTGGTTCAGGGCGGTGGAAAATTGCTTTATTTTAAACTCACTTCCGCAGGATTGAAAAGTCCAAATACAACCCCCTTCTTCTCCTGCAGTCAAAGGGGGTTCAGAAATCTTAGATGTTGAATTCTAGTTCTCTTAGAATTTAATTTTCAAGCTTTAGTATATTTTGTCTTTGCTTTCTTCACATAACAAAAGAACGGAAGGCGACTTCCTGTTTAGACCTTCCCATTCCGAGTCCCAATTAAGTTCAATTTCAAGTCCAATATTATTTGTTTATTCACCAGTCTTAAAAGTGGTTCAACTCTTCCAAGATCAGGTACTCACGGATAGATATTTTAGATGCCAAATTGTCCAGGAAAAAGGCAGCGCTCTCCGATAACGGCAGTGCGGCTTTGCTGCACGGAGGAAGCAGACGACTCACAGCACCACGCACCTCCCACTCCGGAGCCCGGTAACGGGCTCCTGTACAAGGGGAGAGAGCGCTCTCGGTGCCCGCCGAGTCCCACGTCCACAGGCTTCTTCCGCCTGTGGTTTTTGCGGGTCCCCGCTGCGCCGTAGCGGCAGGACCCAAGCCTCCGTGCAGCGGGTTCCCTTCGGACTGAAGGGAATTCCGCCATTTTCCGGAGGCGCCACCCCGGAAGTCCCCAAGTGAGTCCTTCTAGTTCAGTATTATCTACACCAGGTGTCTTCTGGAAACCATTTCAGACTCAGGACCCAGTTTTAACCCAAACATGCATTTGGAGACCCGTTTCTTTTTGCCAGGTATTTGTGCGGTGGTAGCGCTTCTGTTGCAACCCGCCTTGGATCAGGCTATGACTCACTAGTGGGTCCCCACTCATCCATCAGTTGAAGACCAGTGGTCCAGCCCCACCTGGAGAGGTCAGGGATTGAACCTGGGACCTTTTGTATGCAAAGCAGATGCTCTGCCACTGAGCTTGGGCTCTTCCTCAAGAGAGGGGGGACCAGGGTTCAAATCACTCAGCCGTGAAGGTCTCTGAGTGACCTTGGGCCTCTCGCTATCTCTCAGCCTAACCTACGTGAGAAGGTTGTTGTGAGGATGACATGAGGTCAGGGAGGGACCATGTGTGCTACCTTGAGCTCCTTAGAGGAAAAGTGGGGTCTAAATAAACAGCTGTCATAGTGCCCCCATGGTATTAAAGCTCCCAGATTATGACAGCCCAAGGAACCATCATTTCATTTTTAAATTGTATGTGCAGAAGTAGAGTTGTGGGAAAGTATAGCGATTCAAAATGTACCTTTTTTAAAAAAATGAACGAAGTTTATGCGTGATAGTTTTACTCAGAGTAGACCCATTGAGCTTCATGGACACGATTAGCTTATCAGCAAATCACAACAAAATAAGACGAGAACAGTTCATTAAACGAGAAATGGTCAAGACAATACATAAAATGCAACAGACTCTTCAGAGGGCGGGGATACATGTGTTGTTCATTATGCTTTGTATGATGTTCATATCCTACATTTCAGTTTACTCTGAGATACTACACATAGAAAATATTATAGAAAATTATGTCATGCCTTCAAGAGAAAGCTGCATTTCAGTGGGAGTCCTTTGAATGGTGTTCTGTGAAGTTTTTAGCTTTGTGACAGTAGCACTGCGTGAGGTCTTCCCTGTTCCTGTTACGGACCTTAAAACTAAGGAACCGATTGAACTTTCTAGCTTTTGAAGGTAGCTTAAAACAAAAAACAAGTGGCTTGCTTTTACTTTTGCCAAAATGCATACCTTTTAAATATTTTAGATGTTGATAAAGAACAACTCACCTTGTATGATCCCCTGACCACCCCTGCATGCTTTAAATTATTTTCTTTCTTTTCCTCTCTTAATTTAAAATACTAGCTGTGTTCCTGTTTTGGAAGCTTTCAGAATGAGAGTAGCACTGGACCTGGGGTATCAGATGCTGAATTGGAACAGAGTGCCTTAATGGAACTACCTAGCTTACTTCTTTTTTTAGTATCCTGATTTTCTCAGGAGGGGTCAGTGATGGAGTATAGTTGCACAAGTTAATGGACTACAAGCTGTCATGCTTCTAGTTTGGCTCTTTACGCAGAGCCACGACATTATTCTGTAGTAATTTTCGGCCGTAAGCTGTAAACCATGGTGTAGTGTTTTGTAAATGAGTCTGGAGCTATATATTTCCCCCCTTCCCAATTTGTCTCTGGTGTTACCACACAAGGAGGAGTTTTGAAGCATCTTTTATTTTCAACTAATCTTAGTTTGTCTGAACAGGGGCAAGCTGTGGTTTGCCTAATCTATGATTTGTGCAAACAACCCAAAATCAGGCTGTGGTTTCTCGCTTGTTCGCCTCCTTTGATGAATTTATTTTGCTCCACTCCATTTTGGGATGGTTTTATGTGTTTTAAAATTGTAGTGATTTTTACCTGTTTTGAAATTGTATTTTCTCTTTGTGGTTGCCTGTCCTGGGACATTGTGGTGAAGGGCGGGCAAATTAATCCTGTAAACAAACAAAGAAACCATAGTTTATAAATGAGTCCAATTCCCGATTCAGATAAAATGACAAGGTGTGGTTAGTTGAAATAAGCGAATGCTTCTGTACTTCTATTTGTGATTGTGGTGGAGGTGAATTCAGAGCGGGGAGTGCATAATCCTATGGTTTGTCCCTGTAGCTCTAAACTGTGGTTTAGCATTCTGTCCAAATATGCCCTGTGTGTGGAGTAGTGTGTTAGTGTGGTTGGCATTTTGGGTGGTAGCTTTGCTGTACTTGCTGATTTTTAAAAATGAGAGTTTCTTGCCGTTTCCTGCCCTTGCAGGTAAAGCAGGTTTTTTTCTGCTTAGGAGGAGTACTTAATTGCTTCGTTTCGAGGATATATGTGCATATACACCAGAGCTACGAGTTTCTATTCTATTCTCATGTGAATTTAGAAATGCTGAATTGCCATGGTAGCTGGCATGCGGTTTTCTTGGAGGGCAATTATCTCCTTTGGAGATAATCTTTGCTGTCTTCCCTTCCCCCCACCCCCAAATATTTCAGGTAGCGTGGAGTGAGGGCTCAGACCTGGGGAGAATCACTGATTGGAATTGCTAGAAGGAAACAAGGGGAATCTTCTCCCCCCGCAAGGGGCTACACAAGTCCACAGCATATTTGGGTGAAGGTGGTATTGAGAGGACAGCCATTGCTTGTCTTTTGCTTCAGGTAGGCTGCCTGTTAGTTTTCAGGTGCTGATGCTACCTATCTAGGAGACAAGTTCAGAATATGCAGCCTGACTTTAAAACAGCCCAACTGTCAACCCTGACTTGCAGTGGCTATTTAAGCATTTCCTGTCCATGTCGCTGTTCTTCTCCAACAGCGGAACACAATCACCTCTCCAACTAGAGATGTTGAGAATCGGATGCCAAGGTCCTTTGCATACAGAACCTGCGGCAATACATTCGGATGCTTTTAAGTATGTTGCCTGCTGGTAATGGGGCTAAGAGTGTGCCTTCCTTTGGCTGAAACACAGGTTGTTTTACTACCCGCTTGTTAATTGATATACTGTTTATGAATTTAGTATTTATTTTCAGCCGAGCTGGAGCCTCTTTCTTAAACACTGAATGGAAAGCCTGTAGGTTTATGATAGCATTGTCACTGTCAGATAATGTTCCATATTGTTTGCTCTTTGCTATTGTGTTTGCATTACGTTAAGCCACTTTGGGGATCCTTTCGCAGGGAAAAGCAGGTCGCAAGGGATGGTGTGCTCTTCTGCTAAGCAGAGGCAGAAAGCTGTGCCAGCAGCTGATTTTTCTAGGATGCATGGCTGTAACTCAGGGATGGGGCATTTGCCTGGCATGCGGAACATCCCAGGTTCCATCCCCAGTATCTCCCAGGTAGGACTGGGAGAAACATTTGCCTGGAATACTGGAGAGCCTCTGCCAGTCAGTGTAGACTTTACTGAGCTAGATGGACCAGTAGTTTCCCATGTGAGTTTGGAGGCTTCTCGGTCACAGCTGACACAATGAGTCCTCTTTTGCTCGGAAGAAAATAGCCAGTGTGGCCTAGTGGTTAGAGTGCCATACCAGAACCTGGGAGACCAGGGTTCAAATCCCCCCTCAGCTGTGAAGCTCCCTGGGTGATGGGTCAGCCACAGTCTCTCAGCCTGACCCAACCTCACAGGTTTGTTGTAAGGATAAAATGGAGAGGGTGAGAGGCATGAGTGCCACCTTGAGCTGTTTGAAGGAAATGTGGGATGTGGATGTACTAAATAAAAAGATTAATAGGAAACCGTAAGACCTCAGGTTCCTTCTGGGGAGCAGCTTCCCTCCCATCCCTGGGAGCCTGTTGACTCCTTGGCAAAACTAACTGCTTAGTTTAAGGTTCTGTGAGTTGGGCTTGCTGCTGGTGCTGTGGCCTGAAAAATCAGACCACAGAGGTTGGAACAGACTCTCTGCTGCCCTGCACAGTGTCCTCTGCTTCCTTCCGAGCTGTAATTGTGTGGGTATGCAATACAATATTCCATCATTGCTCTGGAGCGACTCAGGACATGTACAAATATTCCCACTTGACCATTATTCTGCCCGGCATGAAATTGTTACATGTATTTTAAAGCTTATTATTGTGTCGTCCTTGTCCTATGAAGCCCGGTTGCCTTAGATACCATGGATCTGGTAACTAGGGCAACTAGACGTAACTGACAAAAATGGAGAAAGCAGCAATGAATCTTCCTTCATGCTTTCTGAAATCAACTTTGGATAAGACACTTGCTGAGAGACAGAACCGGGAGGGGGAATTGCCTGTCCACAACCCCCTGCCCACCCCGAGAGACCTTTGTGGGGGCTATGCCCATTCATTCCACTTACCATCTCTTTTTCTGCAGCTGCCCTCTTCCTTCGAGGGCACACAGCCCTACCCTCTGTACTTTTTGAGATGACCCAGGTGTCCCGTGTGTTGTGTGGCAGGGAAGAGATTTATGAACTCAGACAAGCAAAGTTGTCCCGCTTGCAAGAGGACGTTCTGCCTGCTCAGCGGCACTTCCTCTCCCCCTCCCTTCATAGGAACCTAAGAAGAGCCTGCTGGATCAGGCCAATGGCCCATCTATTATTTTTTTAAAAAATAATTTTTATTAACCGACCAATCAAATCAAATCACATCACATGACATAAATTCCGAATTACAAAACTGAATTTTAAATTTTTGTTGAGGGGACCCATATTTCAAGTTCCGAAAGGGGATTCCGATCATCTTCTTGCTACTGCGTTAATATCCACAAATCAGTCCAAATAATGTTCATAATTCTATCCAGTCTTATCTTGCTCAGGCCAATGGCCCATCTAAGTCCAGCATCTTGGTCTCACCACGGCCAACCAGATGCCTGTGGAGACCTTTCAAGCTGGAATGGAGCACAAGAGCACTCAGCCTTCCTGTGGTCTCCAGCAGCTGGTGTTCAGAAGTATTGCTGCCTCCAGCTGTGGAGGCAGATTATAGCCATTACGGCTAATAGCCATTGAGAGTCTCCTTCACCAGGAAATCTGTCTAATCCTCTTCTAAAGCCACCTAAATTGGTGGTCATCCCAGCCTCCTGTGGGAGTGAGTTCCGTAATTGAACTGCGTGCTGGTATAAAGAAGCACTTTCTTTAATCTCTCCCAAATTCAGCTTCATTGGAGGTCCATGAGTTTTGAGAGAGGGAGAGAGAAAAACTTTTCTCTATCCAGTTTCTCCATGCCATGTACAATTTTTACAAACTTTGATCATGCTGCCTCTTCTCTAAACTAAAATCGTCCAAGCACTGCAGCCTTTTTGGGAGTCCCTCCGTCCCCTAGATCATTTTGGTTGCCCTTCCAACTCAACAGTATTATTTTTGAGGTGAGGAGGCCAGAACAGGCTTCCAAATGGAGTCGCACCTTACATTTGTGCCTTCTCCCCTATCTGCTCCAGATCATTTGGATCTCACCTGTCAATCCTGCACCCAGCTTTGCTGTTCAGGGAGCTGCGACTGGCTTGTCCAGCTCCTTGTCACTGCTGCTGATCTCAAACTTAACAACCACTGCCTGTGGGGAAGGGCCTTTCCTGCAGTCTGCTGTGCATCCTTCACAGAATATTGTTGGACTTCAGAAGGATGCCAAGGGTCAGTTGTGGATACACTGCGCTTTTGGTATCCTTGCAGCTAAGGCTGTACAAAAACGGCAAGAAGAGCTCCACTGCTTTGGGGAATAATATCCCCGCCCCCCACACTACCCCAAGTCCACTTGTAGTGCTGTAATTGTTAGATCCATTTGGAGTTATTTTCTTTTTATTCCACAGGCGACTACTACTCTCTCTCACTCACACACACAGCCTGGAGGCTGAGGCTGTGCGCTGTTCAGAGTACAGAAGCATATTGAGTATTTTTGTTTTGTTGTTCTTGTTTTCCCCATTGGCAAAGAGCTGGGCTAGGTGACTTAAGAGATCTCCTTACCCAGGAATCTAGGTTCCTATTAAGCCATCTTCTGCCTGAATTGGCACAGCTGGGTCATCTGCCTGGGCTCCCTATATTGGAGGGACAAGTGAGGTAGAATAAATGCTCTCCGCTGGCATTCATCCACTCTTCTGTCTGTGGTGGTGGGCTGTTGGTTTCTTTTCTTTTTCTTTTTCTTTTTTTGGCAGGGGGTATATTTTTCCTGAATCCCTCCACAAGCTGGTTTCTTGAAGCAGGAACGCTAACCTGCCTCTAATGTTAAATGCAAAGCCAAGCCAAAAAAGGGGAGGTGTCACAGAGAGAGAACCCTGCGATGGAACTGTCAGAATAGGAGCTCCACCCTGACGGAGAGCCATTCTGGTTTGCAGGGGGCCACACTGAACTCCAGAGACTGTGAGCGATTGCTTTGACGGCGCGTGTTGTCAACTAGAAATAACTACTGAGGCATCAGCTTTTTACCCAGGCTCTGGCAGGAGCATATGTTTCCAGTGCGAAAGGAGAAGCGGTGACAGATGTCAAAAGGCTTGCAGTGGTGATATTTGTTTTTTTCTAAAGCCTTGGCAGGGTTCCACGGAGAAATTGTGCCATGCGCAGAAAAGGGAAGTTGTGCTCCAGTGTTGCGTTGGGGAAGCGTGCTGTTTCCACCCAGTCTCTCTGATTTAATGGAACTGTATCTGTGTGGTGGTTTCTTTGAAATGGTTAATAGGGCCAAAGAAATATCAAGGATGTGCCTTCCTTCTTTTTAGAATGTTTTATATCTTGCCCTTCTTCCAAGAAACTCAAGGTGGAGTACATGTGTCTAAAAAGATAAAGGTAAAGGACCCCTCATCTTGCTTTACTGGCCGAGGAAGCTGACGTTTGTCCACACACACGCGCACAGAGAGAGAGAGAGAGAGAGATGCTTGCCCAGAATGGCGCAGTGCAGGACACATCATGGCTGAACTGGTGTTTTGAATCTGCCCTATTATTGCTATGTATTTACAGTACAGTCGTACCTTGGTTCTTGAACAGAATGCGTTCTGTGAGTCCGTTTGACTTTCAGAACTGTTCAAAAACCAATGTGTGGCTTCCGATTGGCTGCAGGAGCGCCCTGCAGCCAATCGGAAGCTGCATCGGACGTTTGGCTTCCAAAAATCATTTGAAAACCGGAACACTCACTTCCTGGTTTTGATTGTTCGGGAACTGATTTGTTCGGGAGCCAAGGTGTTTGAGATCCAAGGTACGACTGTAATAACTACTTTAATGTTTGCAAATAATGAACTTAAAGTGTTGTTGTTATTATTATTATTATTAGCAGCAACAACAACAACATAATAGTAACCTGTCCTTCATCTAAGCAGAAATCAGGGCAGGATAACGACCTTGGCACTCTTAACTGGGCCTTCCCCTGATCTGATGCTCTCCAGTCTTCCCAGCCAGCATGGTCAAAAGTCAGGGATGATGAGAGTTGGTAGAATCAAAAATATGGTTCAGGATGTCTGCTGTGACCATTACATCACACTGGCCTTCCTGTACAAGAGCATCACCTTCTTCTGCTTTGGAGCTGCTCCACAGTCACCACGATGGAGTTTACATAACATACAGGGACGGACGGACGAGGTTGCCATCTATTCTTTGTTTAAAACTATGAAGGCTATCAGGACTGGGAGAGACCTTTTGCTGCCCGAGAGCCTGGGAAGCTCCTGCTGGCTCCCTCCAAATGTTTTGGATGTCACCCATCATCTCTGACCATTGGTCACGTTGTCTGGGACTGATGGGAGTTATAGTCCAAAACTCAAGGCAGCAGGTTGGAGAAGCCTGCATTAAATGGACTAATGGTCTGAGTTCAGAATAAGGCAGCTTAGCAGCTTCTTCATATGTCCACAAAGTCTCATGTACCTTTTAAAAATCTTGCACAGAAGAAAGAACAAACCTAGCTATCTTTCTCTCTCTTCACAAGCCTACAGAGATGGGAAAAGCTACATTTGGTGATATTTTCTGTTGGCATTAAAGGTCCAAGAGCTCCTTCAGGATCTGTTTGTGGCAACCTTGTTTATGAAGTACCATCAAAAAGGCTGAAAGCAAAGCTGATCTGTCTAGAATTGGGTATGGCAGTGGCTGTTCTCATTTAGGATATGGGCTGGTTCTGCTGCTAGGAAGCCCCTGCCCCCATGGCTGAATTCTAAATTCAGTCTGGTTTGTTTAGCAGTTATCTCTGCTTCTGGGCACAATTCCAAGTGCTAGTGTTGATTTAACCTGATGGTAGGCAATTTAGGGCTTTGTATCAGAAAGACCTTCTCCTCCCATATGAGCTGAGCTGTTTACTGAGGTTATCATCCTAGATCCATTACAGCACTGGAAACTGCAGGAGGGGAGATTGCTCCTGTGCTCATCTGCTTGGCCACTCTGAGAACAGGATGTTGGAGTATGTTGGGCTGCTGGCCTGATCCAGCAGGCTCTTCTTCCATTCCTGTAACCAGGACTTGGGAACCTGTGGCCCTTGACACATTGTTCAACTCCACACGTTCCCTTTCCCTGTCCTTGGCCCTTTTCCAGGTGCCCCCACTTTCATAGAATGATAAAATCATACAGAGTTGTAGGGTTGGAAGGGGTTACAAGGGTCATCTAGTCCAACTCCCTGCAGTGTAGGAATCTCAACTAAAACATCCATGACAGATGACCACTCAACCTCTGCTTAAAAACTTCTAAGGAAGAAGAGTCCACCACCTCCTGAGGGAAACCATCCCACTGTTGAACAGTTCTTACTGCCAGAAAGTTTTTCCTGATGTTGGAATCTCCTTAGTTGGAATCTCCTTTCTTGTAACTTGAAGCCAGGGCAAGAGAAAACAAGCTTTTCCCCTCCTCCATGTGACAGCCCTTGAGATACTTGAAGATGGCTATCATACCTCCTCTTGGTCTCGTCTTTTCCAGGCTAAAAAAGACCCAGCTCCTTCAACCGTTCCTCGTAAGGCTTGGTTTCCAGACCCTTGATCATTTTGGTTGCCCACCTCTGCACACAGCTTGTCAACATCCTTCTTAAATTGTGGTGCCCAGAATTGGACGCAGTATTCCAGGTGTGGTCTGACCAAGGCAGAATAGCGTGGTACTGTTATTTCCCTTCATCTGGACACTATACTTCTGTTGATGCAGCCTAGAATAGTGTTAGCTTTTTTTGCCACTGCGTCACACAGTTGACTTATGTCAAGCTTGTGGTCCACCAAGACCCCAAGATCCTTTCCACATGTACGGCTAGTAAGCCAGGTATCCCACATCTTATATTTGTGCATTTGGTTCCTCCTGCCTAAGTGCAAAGCTTTACGTTTGTCCCTGTTGAAATTCATTTTGTTAGCCTGGGCCCAGTTCTCCAATCTGTTAAGGTCATTTTGAATTCTGATTCTGACTTCTGCAGAATCAGAGTTCAGCCACTGAATAGCCCTTTTACAGACACCCACTCTTCCTTTGTTTTGGCGCTAGGCTTAATTTTATTTGAAAGATCTTCTAAGGCTGGGTGACTGGAGGTCCTTCTGCTGTTGTTGCCATTTGGTTTGGGTTTTAATTTTGTGCGGGTCATCTGGATTGGATTTCATCGCTGTGTGTCTGCCTCTTTGTAGACTCCCCTGTGACATGCTGATGTATTAATATCTTGGCGGCAATCGTGTTTTCCCATAGCATAGCTCAATCTGAATGAATTGGAGCGGAAGAAAAAAATGAGTTGCTGGGAGTGGGGTCAGAAAGGAATGCTAAACCTGTGCAAACCTCTGGCATGGCCTTCTTTGAGATACATGAAGAACAGGGTGGAGCTCATGGCCAGCTACTACATGACCAGTAAGATGCTGTTTCCAGTCCATAGGGACTAGAAGGGTGTGTTTAAAATATCTCATCGTTCTTTTCCATTGGAAAAAAAATAGCTTGGGCTGTGTGCCGCATGTCTGTGTGTAATATATACACTTGATGCCAAGAAAACCTAGGGTTTTACTGTTAGGAATATGGTATGCAATATCACATTCGCACATATTTGCTTACTTTTTCACAGCTTACTCTTGATGCCTAGAGCCAGGTTTTGAAGGAACTTGGAAGTTTTTGTAAGAGAGGGAGGAAGGAAGGAAGGCACGTGGCATGGCTTTGCGGGTTGAGGAGACGAAAGAGTAGGAGATGTAGGAAAGGGACTGAGCCGAGCCCTGGATCTTCACTCCCCAGGCTATTGGGGAAAGCTTTTTGCTTGCATCTACGTTATCTGCATGCTTGCAAACTTATCCCCACATTCATTAGCAATGGAAGCATTATTTTCAAGGCGATAAAGCAGGCCTAGAAAGGTGGCAGCTTTGAGGATATTGAGCCCTGTAGCTGAGAACTGATTTAGTGATCTTAAGGCAATCTTGTGGGAATGTGTAATAGCTATGTTGTTGTTTTCACTCTAGCGTCTTGTACTGCCAACTGTAGAAAGAACATATGCTCTATAAGCTTCAAGCCCTGTGTGTGTGCCCATGAACTTCTTTCTTTCTTTCTTTCTTTCTTTCTTTCTTTCTTTCTTTCTCTCTCTCTCCCCCTGTCTGTCTGTCTGTCCGTCTCCCTTCCTCCCTCTCTCTCTCTTTTTTCCCTTAGCCTTCCCCAGCCTGGCACCCTCCATATGATGGAGCTATAACTCCCATCAGCCCCAAATGGTACAGTTTGGGAGGGCTGCTCTTTTCATGAGACTGCTGCAACTCCTCCCAGATCTACAATTCCCAGAGTTCCCTATTAAGAGGCATTGGTTTTTAAAACCACTCTGGAAACCGTAGTTCCAGAAAGTGAATAGGGATCTCGTAACAACCCTCAACAAACTATAGCTCACACATTTGGGGGGGGTGCTAGTGTGGGTGGAGGGAGCCTGGCTGTTCAAAGCTGTTAAATGTGTTGTTTCAACATGGCCTTAGTACTGAAGCCAAAATGTCTGCATTGGTCAAAAGGGCATATATAATCTTAGAAAGGGCCTGGCTGTGGAGGGCTGTAATGAAGAGCACCTACATTATAGGATTTACCTCTACATCCCTGGTGGTGGGACTGGGAGGAACTGACTAAAACAACTATTTGGAATCTAAAGGAGGAGTGAAAATGCTGCAAGGTGCTTATTGTGCTGTGTGAATGGACTGCAAGGCAAAGGATAACATTCACTTAGTATGGATAAATGTAAAGTGATGGACCTGTGAGAGAAATGTTCAATTGCTTATCGGTCATTCCAGACTAAACAGTTCAGGGAAAAGATGTGGACATCTTTGTAGACCACTTAATGTACCTCATTACTAGGCTTCAGTCTCAGAAGAAATGAGATATTTGGCCGTCGTGCGAAAAGGCTGGAAACAAATAACACAAGTTAAACACCGCGATGAATCACTTTCTTTGCCCTTCTTTGGTCTCCTCCGACTGCCTTGACTCCCAACTGCCGAATTGGAGGGTTGTGGGGTTTTTGAAGGCCCAAATAAGTGTGTTGCGAAGAGGCTGACAGGAATGGAATAGTTCACATTAGTGAAGAAGCTAATGTGGGAAGACACTGGCGTTTAACGTGATGGATGACACAGAGAAGGCAGATTGGGAGCGGTTTTGCTAGTGCCTTCCTGATAATGCAAGAACAGAAACACATTCAATGACATTGAAAGTTGGCAGATTATATATAAAAAAACACCACCGTGTAAGAAATAGATATTCAGGCAGTGTCGGGTTAGATTGCAGAGCTCTTCGCTACACCCTGTCACTTACGCCAAGGGCTTGGTGATATTTATAACGGCTCCATGGGCATTTTGATCAATACCTGCAACTGTACGCGTCAGGTTTCTAAAGGATGCCTTGTGTCTTAAGTTCCCGCAGATAAAGATGTGAGAACCAGTTTGGCTAAAGTGGAGAGGGGTGGACTTGGGCCTAGCTCAAATCTCTGTCCAGCAGTGAAGCCTCCTGAGGTAAAGCAGGCTGCAAGGTGGCGACTAGTCCTATCCTTCTTCCTAGGGTGATTGTGAAGACAGTAGCAAGGGGAAATACGTGTTGCAGATGCAAAATATGTCAACAAAAGTCAGCCTGGCACTTTCAAGGGTTTAAAATTCAAATTTCTTTGGGGCTGATTGCTGTTGACTTTGTAAGGGCTATAGAGATGTTGCAATACTGCTGGAATGGGAAACTAGTGAAAATACGGGCCTGGTTTGGGTGGGTGAGACTTTGAATCTTAAGCAGATTATACAGTGGCAGGCAATGAAAGGTTTTATTTCATCCTGTAAATTAGTCTGGAACCTCTCTCCACGCCCTGGTATAATTTTTAGTTTTCCCTCCCACAGTTTAGTGACTTTAGCTACAGTTGCATGCCCTACACCTCTGCTTCGTTGCTTTCACTGCTATCTGTTCTGTAATTTATTTATTTCTCAAATTTATATCCCGCCCTTCCTCCCCAAAGGAGCCCAGGGTGGCAAACTACAAGCGATGAAGCATCTTAAAAATGATGCAGAAACTTACCGGAAAAATAATAAATCAAGATAACAAACTTTTGATAAAAGAATGGAAATGGTTTGTTGAATATTTGCAAACAAACTGTAAACAGATAAGAACATTGGCAGGATTATTGTAATAACCTGCACTTTTTATAAGAGTATGTATTTAAATTAGATGAATAAGTGATTAAGTTAATTTGGAATAAGCAGAAAATAAAAAATAATAATTAAGGAACCTCAGAAAGAGAGGGAAGGAAGTCAAGTTTCGAAATGTTAAAATGATTGTAAAATTATTTAAATGTATAAAATTGAAAATCAGAAATAAATAAAAATCTTTAAAACGATTCCAAATACACATGCCAACTGGGAAATAACTTTAAAGACTTTGAAGTAAATAACTTTAAAGAGGAAGGTCTTTGGTATAAGCCAAAAAGGCAACAGAGTTGGCTTTTGCCTAATGTTCATGGGGAGGGAATTTCAAAGGAAAGGTGCCACAACATGATAAAGACCCGATTCCCACATCGTTCAGAATGGTGCTCCTGATAAGATGGTGTCTGCAGGAGACCCTCACCTGCAGAGTGTAATGTTGGATTGGGCATATAAGGGGGAAAGCTATCTTTCAGGTATCCTTGTCCCACATTGTATGAGGCTTTTACACAACACAACCAGCACACATTGAGCTTAACCTGGTACCTAATTGGCAGCCAGTGCAATTCTTTCAACCGTGGGGTAACGTATTGGCGGCATTTCGCCCCACTGAAAACTTTTATTTTATTGCATATTTTCCTTTTTTGGAATGTTTTAAATTGCTGTTTTTAACAGGTTTTACCAATAAGTTTGTTTTCTCCCTTTTGTAAGGTATTTCCAGGTGGTGTATATATATTATGATATAAAAAAATAGATAGATAGGTATAGATAAATAGAAACATAGATTCATAGAGTTAGAAGGGACCCCAAGAGTCATTTAGTCCAACCCGTTGCAATGCAGGAATTAACTGCTTTTAATATGTACTTACTTACATATAGATATCTGTGCTTACTTAACAATTCTGTAGATTATGGGAGACCATGTCTAGGCAGTACATAGTTCAGCTTGCAAGTTGGCCAGCTTCTTTGAGGAAGTAGGAACTTCTTAATGTATAACAGCCCTTGTGGCAGGGCTGCCAGTCTGCAATCAGATCAATTCCTCTTCTCCCTTTAAATCTGCTGCTAAACTGTGCAACAAAGCCTCTGTGCCTTCTCCCACCCTTTCTCCCCCTCCGGATTCTTCTTTACCTGCCCCTTTCCCAACATGCTACATATGGGGAGGTGGGGGGGAAAACACATGAAAGGACCATAGAGGAAAAGGGCAGAACAAGCTTCTGCAGCTGCCTCTTCTCCCAGTTTAGCCCCAGACTTAATTAACGGGAATCTCTGGGGCGCAACCTGGAACTTTACTTTGTGCACACCTGTGCTCTGCTTGAAGCAGTGCTATCTGGAGCACCTTTTGAGTTTGTGATGTGTATAATTGGTTTTTGGAGCATCTTGCCCCCTCCGCCTACCTCCCCGCAGTGGATTGAACTGGGTGGCCATTTCATTACATTCAGTTCTCGTTTCCATAATGGCTGGGCTTAATAGTAATTTCCCACTAACTAGAGAAGATGCTCATCTACCATGATAACGTCTTACGGGGAAGGAAATTACCCTAGTAGTTTTTTGGGATGATTCCCCCCCTTCTGCTTCCTAGCTTTTCCCCCTCCTCCTTCATTGCTTGTGTAAATTCTCTGCTGCATTTTTTAATTTGGTTCTATGTTTTATCTTGTGTACATTAATGCTTTTAAGTGCCACCTCCAGGCGCATTTAACAATGGAAATAAGATTCTCCCCCTCTAATAGCCTGTAAGGAAGAGTGAGAGCGAGAGCCCGATTGGGTTTTAAAGATTTGTTTGTTGGGTGTGGGAAGCCAAGGAGTCTTCAGAGTGTTCAGGGATTTTGTTCAGAGTGTGTCAAGGTCTTTGTTTCCTTCCCTAGGTTGGCTTGGGTTTCGTGATTTTTAAGTTGGTCTCTCGCATTCAGAAGCCTTGACATTTGGCTAGGAGTTTGACGGTTTCCAGTGGAATCTAAGTACTGTCGGGGCATCTATTGTCCTTTTCTCAGAAAGAAAAGGAGGGTGCCTTTCAGGGAGCCTGTGCAGTGGCTTTGAAGCTGGCACAATCTGTAAGATGCTCTTGTGTTTGTTGGAAAGTGGGGCTGTTTGTTGTGAGTCCCTGCGTTGCCAAGGAGACCGGCTGCTCCACTTTCAACCGACTGGAGGCTCTTCAGGTGGTAGGTAGCTTTTTATTCTTCAGGAGCTGCATTGAGCCGAGAGACAATCAGTTCGCTGGCTCGGTTTGGCAAGGATTAAACCAAAGAAAGAGGAGAAACGTGTGTTGTGGTGGTGGGATTTTTTTATTTTTAAGTTCCAAACAGTTGCAATGCAAAGTTCCTTTTGTCTGGAAATCTGGTAGAACAGAAGGATCTCAAGAAGCACCAGTGAAGCAGATGGGCAACAGGATTCAGCCTGTTCTCTCTGGTGGCTTCCACATTGGGGCCCTTTAGCACTGCTGAGGCATTGCTTTTCTGCAGCCGGTTTTGAAACCTAATGAAAGTGGTGATTCCACCCGGCACTTAAGATTTTAGCTATCAGCACTCTTGCCACTCATGGCGGGAGTGGGCAACCTTATCAGGGTCCAGCGCTGCATTATCTTCAGGGAACATGGTGGGGGCCCCATACGTCTGGCTGTGAGTGAGGCCGAAGCAAAAAAAGGTGTCTCTCTCCCCCTTCACTCATTATCTATTAATTCTTTCTTCCAGTGTTAGATATATAACGTACTAAATCAGAGTTTCCCAAACCTGGGTCTCCAACTGTTGTTGGATTAGAATTCCCTAGCTATCAGGACCAGTGGTGAGGGATGATGGGAATTGTAGTCCAAAAACAGCTGGAGACCCAAGTTTGGGAAACCCTGTGTTAAATGGCACATTGAACCTAGGTTGCAGTTGCCACAACAAAATGTCTAGGCACTATTTCCCCTCCCTCATGGGGAATAATAATAATAATAATAATAATAATATCATTTCTGTACTGCTTTATATTTTAATGAAAAAATCTCAAAGTGGTTTATAACACATTAAAGCAATACAGAACAAAACAAATTCAAGCTTCAGGGAAAATATTTCAGATCCTTCTCTAAGTGACATTTTCCTTTCCCCAGATTTATTTACCTACTTAATTCATAGAGTGGCCCCATAGCAGAAGTACTCTAGGAAGCCAGAGTGGTGTAGTGGTTAGAGTGTCAGACTAGGAGCTGAGAGATCAGGACTTAAATCTCCATTCAGCCATGATGCTCACTGGGTGACCTTGAGCCAGTCACAGCCTCTTAACCTACACACAGAATTGTTGTGGGGATTAACTGAGGATAGGGGTGAACTGTGTGCTCCTTGGAGAAAAAAAGTGGGATATAAATGCAATAAATAAGCTCTTCTGCTTACCTGCTTAAGAAAACAGGAGGGTCCAACCAGATAGAGATGTTAGTCACCAACTTGGCATCCAGAGATCTCCACGTGGTTGCAATCGATCCTGCGCCAGTTGCAAAACGTGCCTTGCGCCTGGCTAATTTCTAACACCACCCTCTTCCCACACATATTATCTCACCCAAACTTCTGTCCCATCCACCCAGCCATCTATTCTTTTCCTTTCTTTCATGCTGTCTCTCTGGGTTGTGTTTGTGTGCACCAGAGGAGATGGAGGGCAAGGGACTCTGTGCTGTAGACCAGGGGTAGGCAACCTAAGGCCCATGGGCCACAAGTGGCCCATGGGGGTTGTTTAACTGGCCCACGAGCCACCCCTGAACCAAGCCGCTGCTCAGTGAGTCCCCGTGCGCGGCGCTAAACTGGCGTGGCGCGGGGACTCGCTTCCGCTGCAACGGAAACCGTGTCTGCGCAGACGCAGATGCTGGAAATCGTGTCTGTGCGGATGCAGAAGCCGGAAATAGCTGGCGTGTGTGTTCAGGAGTGCGCGCAATCCAGCCCATGGAGGGATCTACGCTGGAGTGAACCAGCCCAGGCGAGGTAAGCCTTGCCAACCCCTGCTCTAGACCCTTCTATAATATAAGCTCACAAGTTAGTCTCATTCAGCAATGGTCCCTTGCAGTGTTGATTAAATTTCCTCCTTGCAGCCTCTGCCTCTTTTTCTTAAATGCATGTTCATTGTAGCTGGCAAATTAGTGATGAATTGTCTCCTAATTAGTCAAGTTCTGTTCCCTGCAGTGGAATAATGGTTTCATTATTTATTTTTCTTTTATAGCAAAATAGTCCTAAAAGACAGAAAGGGCGGGGGGGGGGGGGAGAGAGAGATAAAGGATACCATTAATTAAAGTCTCCCCTTTCCTGTGGAGAACAGCAATTGACTAATTAAAGGGCAATTCCTCACTAATTCCCTGGCTGAGGCTGAACAGGAAGTGATAAAAAGGGCAGAAGCTGCAAGGAAGAAACTTTAATTAAAAACACAGTAGCCCCTAAAAGCCCTTATACCAGGAGCAGGCAGGCTTAGGGCTTGTGGAATCTACTTTTGATTGGAACTCCAAAATCTACCAACCAGAGCTGGGTACAAAAGACATACAGTTAGAACTGGAGGACGTGAGCACCTTCTGAGCCTAAGAATTAGCTTTCAGTAGCAGAACTGAACCAAAGTCACGGCCCTTTCACACAAAAGTCTACTCCTGGTTATCTTTCTTCATTCAACAGCCTGATTTAAGCGCAGAAAGTCATTGTGCTATTGCTATTGTTGGAAACAATTTGGAGTCAGAAACTCTTGCCAGTCTTCTGCAAATCAGCCTGCGATCTACCAGGAGACCCCAATCTGCCTTCTGCCTTCATCTGTACTAGTATAGTACATTGCCTGTCCAACACTGGACAAGCTGGGACTTTAACTGTGTTATATTGTAAAAAATAAACGAAATCACAAATCACTTTCTGGGGAATAAAAATATGAAAGGGCGATACAGAGAATGTTGGAACACAACTATTTGTCAGCAAGATGGATTATCCATAAAAAGCGAATGAAGAGGGGGAGTCATTGCAGAGAAGAACCAGCGCGTAAGCAGCCTCTCTTTTCTATGTGTTTTTGTTTTGGACGAAAGCTGAATCTGGTTGTCCTCATAGGCAAGAAAACACCCAATGTGTCTTTGTACCTGGAGATGCAGCTTAATTAAGGTGATCCAAAAGCCTTTTGTGATGCTCAAGGAGTTGACTCATGTGTTCAAACATCTGGAGAGCAGCGCAATATGGATGCTGAATCATCAATTTTATAGGCCCTTCAGTGGGAGACAGAGGCAAATTTGGTGCACTTCTTTCTTCCTTGAGCAATATCCATATTAGCAAGTCTGTGTCTCATTCTCTCTCCCACCCCCCAGTCCCCATTTGGACCTACAAATGCACATTTCCTTTCACAGTTGTGACGGTCCAATTGGCTTGGGCATTGTTGAGGTGCTCCCTCCCTATTCAGTAGGCACACCTCTCCCCCTTCCCTCTTACTTTCTCTCTTGAAGGCTGCCAGCCAAGCCTTTAAGCTTGGTACAGGGCTGAGATGGTTGGTGGTTGGAGAGGAGACAACATGGCAGTTGTACCCCATTGATATCCAAGGAAAGAGGTGCACCTTGGGAGGGACATGAGGCGCCCCCAGATGACCCGTTTATTGAATATACATCCCAATTTGCTTGCACAGAGCTTGCACAAAGTTTGTCCAATGCCTGTTCTTTAATGACCATTCCCTCTGAGTTGTTTGTGGGGAGGTTGTACACCTTCCTGTCAATCGGTTGTTGACCTGCACTTTTTCATGCGTTTTCCCATTTCCTCTCCTAACTGTAAAAACCTCATTTTTTCAAAAAGTAGATTAGTTGCAACGGAGCGCTTTAATCCACTTTCATTGTGCAAACCTAATGTTCCAGTATGTGAACAAATCCCTCCTGCAAAAGAGGGGCCATCTGTAGGTGTCTATAGTGTGTGCATGTGTGTGTGAGAGAGAGATCCACAAGGTGTCTCTTGCACACCTTCCAACGTCACACAGATGAAAGCAGGGACATAACTTGCTACTCCCCTGTTCCTCCTACAAAGGATCAATGCCCTCATCCAAATTATATTTTGCTGAAGGCTCTGCTCCACTAGCTATATTGACTTAATCTGCAATCGTCTTTTGGGCAAAGAAGAACATAATTGTCCTGCAATATGCTTTCAGCAGCCTGAAATATCCTTCATTAGCAGCAGTGTTTGAAATGGTAGGCTACCTCGTTTATTCTTAACGATTATACTCCGCTTTTCAATCAACTGATTCTCAAGGTGATTTACAACAGTTTGTAACAATACAAGAATCAAACACACACACACACCATCCCCCTCACTGATGGATGGGGTCAGGGCATGCTTCCCTTTGGTTCCATAGTTCTGGCTATTTGGTGGTTGGAGGCAATAGTTCTCTCTGGGAAGAAGGGCTGGTGGATGGGGCCTGGCTGGTCTTTCTTCTGCCACAGTGCTCTTCCTGCATGGCAGGGAGTGGACCTTCCAGTGGACCTCGTTCCCCTGGCTCTTTAGCACATGTGCTAGGGACAAGGTGCACCCATGCTCTTCTAGAACAGGGATAGACAACCTGTGAGGCACGACCATTATAAAAATAGATTTTTAAAAATAACCATAAATTAAAACCATTTTATCAAATTGTTGTGGCTATTTTTTCTTCTCCAATAAGCCTAAAGTGGTTGGGACAGCATGAGGATGGTGATTTTGTCATTCCTCATAATCTTACACCTCTTGAAACTAGGGACAGGGAACCTTTTGGCCCTCCAATTATTGCTGGATTACAAGTCCCATAATCCTGATCGTTGGCTGTGCTGGCTGAGACTGAAGGGACTTGCACTTCGACAACATCTGGAGGACCAAAGGTTCCCCACTCATGGCCTAAGCAGACATTTTTACAATAATATGTCAAACCGGTGGTGGTGGGGAACCTACTGAGTTACTTTTAAACACAAAGCACAAACGGTTCCAGGCTTAACACCGTATTGGGTACCTTAAACTTTCAGATTCTTTAGAACACCCGAAGCCACTGCCACAAATTCTGGTGCTTTTCAGTCACCATGAGGAAGACTGACTGCAGTAAGAAGATATGGTATTGGCAGTTGGGGGTGTCTTGGCCTCAGCAGAGAGCAGCCTTTCTCTGAAAACACCTGTCTACCTGGTCTGATCCAGGAGCAGAACTGCTCACAGGTGTCCAGGCTGACAGAGCTGCTCCTGCCATACATTAATTCCCCCCCCCCCCGACAGCTGACTGTTACCATCACATGTTGGAAATCTATCTAGATCAGCGTTCTGACTATTGCAGAAATACAGAAAAGACAAATACCTATCAGGATTCCCTACCGAGGAAAGCCCCGTGAAGCTGAACTGTTACTTACCTGTCAGAAGGAATTAACTTTGAACCTTTTGTCAGAGCCTTCCTGTAATTAAAATGCTGGGAACGTTTGTGTTGGCTGTCCCCTGCAAGGAAGGGAGTTAAAAGGTCAGCAAATCCCATAGGCTTATATTAAAACAGGTTTCCTCTCACAGTTCACTGCCTGCCTGATGGGGATCAGCTGGTGAAATAGCCTCACCAACCTGTGCACTTTCACTCTCCTCTCATTGATGCCTTGGAATCTCTACCTGCTAAATCCGTTCTCCCGCAGTTTTAACAGCTAGGATTTCCCCAGCCCCTGCCACTGTGAATCAATGCTTCCTAGCACAGTAAGGAGCCATTAGCCACCCCTCATTTGGCACCAGGCCCCCCACTAATCCAGTTTTGGATTATGGGGATCTTGTGTTTTCGGGCAGGTAAAGCACATAATCTGGAGTTTCGTGGGTCCTGAAAATACCCAGCAAATCACTTGTGGGAGTTTCCCCCACCCTCTGATCTCAGGTATTTTCTCCAGCACCTGCCTCTTTGACACTGAGTAGCAGCCAGGTAATTTCAGCCTTTGATGAGATAGAATGCTTCCACAAAAGCAGTTTGCTTCCCTGTCCAACAGAACCTTGCACTGTGTTGTGAGTCTGCTCAAAGGGACACCAGAGCATCCACCTTATGAAACTCTTCAGTGCCGATGACCCTGATCTTAAATTTCAGATACTTTGGCCATCCTGCTTGCCTGGCTGTTTGGGTCTGGGCACTGTAATTTTCCAAAGAAGCCAAGGAACAGCCTTCTAGCTCTGTAGCTTTTCTGGCATCAAATGCAATTCTAAACAAAGGCTTGCCTCTTTCAGCTTCCTGATGGCATCTCCATTGCTGCATATCACAACCCTTGTTTGTCTGAGATTTGTCCCGGAGATTAGGGCTTTTGGCTTGCTCCATCTCTGTCTTGACTGCCACCTGCTTCCTCGGGGAGTTTCACATTAAGCAGAGCAAGATTTAAACTGCATTGAGTTGATGCACAGAGATGACTGTCCCCAAAGTTTAAAACTGTAGCCACAGTATCAGCGCTAGCCCACCCCACTATGTTAACAACGTTGTGATTTAGTAAGTACAGTGGTAACTCGGGTTACATACGCTTCAGGTTACACACTCCGCTAACCCAGAAATAGTGCTTCAGGTTAAGAACTTTGCTTCAGGATAAGAACAGAAATCGGGTTCCAGCGGCGCGGTGGCAGCAGCAGGCCCTATTAGCTAAAGCGGTGCTTCAGGTTAAGAACAGTTTCAGGTTAAGAACGGACCTCCGGACCGAATTAAGTACTTAACCCGAGGTACCACTGTAAGCCTGAATAGTTAGGATTGCCTTCTCCTGTCTCCAGCCAAATAAGATGGCTCCTGGCTATGGGTTAGATTGGGTATTTGTGATCAGAGTTGGTAAAGGACTGCTTTTAGCCATCCGTGTTCCTCACAATCTTCTGTTTTTCATTTAAAATTAGGAAATAATTGACAGCTCTCCCGTTTTGCTGTTCTCATGCTGCTTTTCAGATCACTCTAGAGAGTCTTCTTTTCCTACTATTTAACATCTCTTTAAGTGCTAACAATGTGTTCTATGTGCTGTGCATGAAAATTCTGTTTAAGTCTGGATGTGAGATGCTTGTGTGGTCTGTCAAAGCATTCTGATTATACATCCTCTTCATCCCCCGACAACCTTCCCCCAAAGGATGGATAATTCACTCCAGTGCTACCTTGCCACTTGATCCATCCATGCCTCAAGAGTTTTGAAGTATTTCAGCTTGGCTGTGTACTGCAACATCACCCTAGACTATTGTAAACACGGATTGCATCATTTAAAATGCCTCTGGGAATGGACTTTGCCCCATTTCCTTTTCAGATATGCATGCCGCGTTGGTGCATTTTGCACTCTGATAAATTAAGTGGTCGCTTGGCGGTCTTGGCTTAAAAATGGGCAAAGCGCCCATTTGAAGGTAACTGGAGACGGCAAACATATTGTCCCAGATGCCTGGGTGCTGAATTCTGCTCATCAGCAGTTTTGTTGTTCAAAAATTAATCTGTGAAACATAACTAGTTCCAGGCATGTGGGTTTGTGTGGTGTGTGCTCATTGGAGAAGAATCCTGGAGATGCACACAAAGCCAAATGACAAAAAGTCCACAGAGATTCTGACTTCCTAGTAGCAGTGGGCATTTTGGCATGCGAAACCTCTTAAAATGGCACGGGCCCAGACTATCTGAATGACCGCTTCCTTCTGTATGAGCTTTCTCACTCACGTCTTATCTGAAGGCGTTTTTCAGGGTTCCTCTCCTTGTATTGAAGAAGGTGTGGTTTGGAGTTGGGACCTTCTCTGCTGTTGCACCCCTCCTCTAGAATTCCGTTCCTCAAAGAGTTTCCTTGGCGCTTTCATTGTTGGCTTCTAGGCACAAGGTAAACTTTTACACACTGTTGGGAATTTCAAATTCAGTCTCTGCAGAGGACTGAGCAATGGTTCCTGCAAACCCTATTTTGGCATGGATCTTCGTTTGTAGCCCAGCTTGTGCCCAGCTGCAAAGGGGGGGGGGGAGAATCAGAAGCATACGGCCTATTCTTTCCTTTGGGTCATTTGGAATGGGAATGTCAGGTGATTGACAGGTGGGCAGTTCCACCCACATGCAGTGTTAGAAACTGAGATATGAAAGCTAGGAGCTAAATGGTGCCTTAAACCTACCGGTAGGTTATGGGCGCAACAAAGGAATGTCTAGGCACACTTTTTTTATAACACGAATGCAAAGCTGAAAATGAATGAACTGCAGCTAAAATATTATGTCCATTTTTCATATGGTCTAGTCCTCCCCCTGCCCACCCCCCTAATATTCTTAAGAGGGTCTCTTCTCCACTCTTCAGAGAGTAGCTGGAAGTGGGGAAGCAGAAAAAGGTCCTCCTTGGGTGGCCACTAGGGGCGCATTGGGAGATGGCTGACAATAACATCTCTCCGACCCACACGAGGTAATTAAGAGGCTGTGATGGGAGTAAACAGCCTCCCGGCCCCCCCAAGCGTGTGGGGGGGGGACTGCCCTTGCCTGCTGTGCCCTATACCACCCCCGAGTTTGTGGGGGTGGGGGCACTAGGCAGAAAGCCCTTGTGCGGATTTCGGCGCTTCTGGACGCTGTCTCTGATTCGCGCCCCTAGCTGCAGTAATTTCAAAAGAAACAATTAGGAGGAAGCTAAATGCACATATTTCAAGGAAGAAGGGGGAGTAAAGACTGCTAACTGAAGAGATCTCTGATAAACAAGACTGGTCGGAGGATTAAGAATAAATGATGAGAAGACACACTAAGGCTTGGTATGTTCGGCAACGGGACTGGATGGGGGAGGGGGAAAAACTTTCCTTTCTTTTCTCTATGTGATTAACCAAGAATCCCCCCCCCACAAGTCACAAGTCAGAAATGGCGTTTAAATGACTTAAGCTGTGGATTTTAGACTGTGTGGAGATAATTTTCTAACCAAAGCATGTTTCAAGAAGATCGTGGAAAGCATAAGAGCTTTGGAATGACACAGCAAAAAATATCGTCACCATCTTGGCAAGTTATGTCGAAAGATTTATGTCTGGGAGGAGGAAAGATCTGTTTACATATTGTGGGAGAGCCTCCTCAGAGGGACTAAAGTGCGACAGACTTGCCAGATTAATGATGGAAAGAGTGCTGTTATTTATGAAAGTGATGATATATGGAAACCATCTTGATATGATGACTGGACGAATGGAAAAATTCACACAGGATTATAATTGGTGTTTACCTGCTTAAGGAGATCATCAGAAGAGATCATAAATAAAAAAAGAAAAATATACGAACAAGATGAGATGTGGAAACAGCAAGATAAGACTGGGTAGTATTATGAATTTTATTTGGACAGATTTGTGGATATTAACGCAGCAGCAAGATGAGGATCGGAATCCCCCTTCGGAACTTGAAATATGGGTCACCCCAACAAAAATTTAAAATTCGGCTTTGTAATTCGGAATTTATGTGATGTGATTTGATTTGATTTGATTGGTCGGTTAATAAAAATTATTTTAAAAAAAGAAAGAAAAAGGTCCTCCTTTCCTTCCACTCTGCAGTTTTAATCTGAAATCTTAGGCACAGTACTGTGTACTGAGCCCAGAGCTCAGAAACTGCTTGTGCTAAATGAAATTCCCTGTCACAAAATGTACCTAGAACAATGGGAATTTCAAACACTGCCCATGTGTAAAAGTGGCCCACACAGGATGGGTTTGCTCAAAATCCTACCCCTGCTTCAGACGCATGGCTCACCCAATGTATGTTCCGGGAGCAAATAACATCCATTCCACTGTTTAGATACTACAAGGTAAATGCTTCTCTTGCTGGCATGGAGATTAATATTAGTGCTGGTAAAAACAATTTATAAAGCAGCTCTGCATTGGTTACTAAGCAAGGCTGTCCATTCTCTTTAATGGATACCCCTGAGTTTCAAAGCTATGCAGTGTTGCTTTGCAGCTTGAATAAACAAGGCTTTTAAAGCTGTCCAAATCAAGCCAGACCAGCAATGTGTATGTAGCTTAGAAGCTTTTTCTACTTTTCCAGTGTTGCTCTTTTCTTCCCTACTCCCCTCTCTTTCCATAACGAGATGCAAAGAAATCTCCCTTCTGCCGCAATAAAACAACCTCCCATTTAAGCTTGGCGAGCTGGCTTCTCTAAAACCTGATGTTGAGTTGTGTTACGTTTATCAAGTTGGGCAGCACAAATCAGGGGCTGGGATTTGGAGGCCACTGTGACCTCCAAATGCAGTCTGGTGGGATTGTCCAGGTATTTGCATACTCATAATACCCCCTTCTTTCCCCCCCAACCCCCATACTCATTTATGCACAAACACACTCCAGGACTTAAGCCCTGCTGCAGTTAAATCAGCACTAGAGAGGGGCCTTAACAATTGCTGGCTGTTTTAATTATACTAATGATGATACGTGATTCACATCTTTACTCTTGTCAGCTCTTAGATCCCCAAAATTAGATAACGGGGAGACATAGGGGGATAATTTGAAGCAAATAATAAATAAAACAGGTAACAGGTATTTGGTGTCTGACGTGTTTGAACTTCTTGCAGCACAGTCTTGGAAATGATAAACTTGCGCTCATAAACTTCAAATGCAATTCCCGCCTGGTGAGGAAAGTTTCGAATGGAAAGTGGTGTGCTTTTTTATATATACTTAGTTGAGATCCAGGTTGGTTGAAATCACCAGTTCTACATGGCGGTTGATACCCATCGGAATTGTTTGAATCAATAATGAATCATCTCTTCCACTGCTGTGAGTACCAGAATTGGAGTTTTGGTATTCTTGACGCGTACGCCGAGCATCACTTGTAAGGTAGCAGTGTTTTAGAATGCCAGCAACACTAGTTGTACCGCTGCCCAACCCAGTCTGACACATGTTAAGCTCTTGTTCTCAGGAATATAGAGAAGCTTGTTGAAATTCAGGTGCTATAGCTTCCTCTGGGTAAAGTAGGTCGGGGAAACGCATCTTCCTGTCAGCAAAGCTGGCATGCAGAGGGTGGCGGTGGAGAAAGAGAGGGGATTTGATGAAGGTTAGGGCATCCCCGGCAAATCCACTGTCCATTTGTTTGTGGAAGTTACAGCTGCTTTGAATGTAAATTCGGCAGCTTGGTGGCAAAGGGCTACACATCACCGCACTCTTGCATCTGTCTGGATTGTGACTCCCAGCTTCTGTTCATAGGGAAACTGTGGTGTGAGTGCGCGTATGCTTGCTGTCGCCTCCTCCTCCTCTGAAACTGGGACCCATTTCTTGGTTTGCTGGCAATATGTCTGCAATCCTTTTCAGCCCCCCAGTGAAAGGAGCTGCAGCCATCCTGAATGGGGTTAGGGCAGCTGAGCAGGGGGAGGGAGATCCTGGCGCAGGCTGTCACCAAACTGTTGGGGACAATAGCGGACGCTGTTTTGAGGCAAGGCAAGAACAAGCCTGTGTGTCTGTTTCTGGCACTAATTGAATGACTTTTAAGCTCAGAAATTGGGAGAGGAAGGATGGAGGAAGGAATATGCAGGGACATTGTGTTGGAATAGTCTTACCTCAAAATGAATACACAGCTACAAGAGGCAAGAGCACAGGACATTTCCCTCTGTGAAAAACAGCAGATGCCTGTGGCAGATTTAAAACCAAGGGTGCTTTGTTTTTGCTCCCCATTTTAGTGATTCTTAGCCGGTTTTATTCTGCAAGTATATACAAGATCCTTTATGCCAGAGCCCATCTGAGTCTGCTGGGTTAGTTCATCTGTAGTTTCCACCTTCCCCTGTTCTCCCCTCTTGATTGTGGATGCACATATAAGCATGCGGAGCTGCCTTATGCTTAGACCATTGGCCCATCTAACCCAGTATTGTCAACTCTAACCCGCAGCAGCTCCCTGAGGTCAAATGCAGATGTCTTCCTCAGCTGTGCTCCCTCAAATAATGGGGACTGAACCTGAGGATTCCTGCGTGGAAAACATGCTGGGCCCTTCCCCAGATGTTGTCAAAGAGTAAGTCGGCAGTAAATCACACCAGTTGAAGTTGGAGTTAACTCTTTATTAGCAAAAACATGATCTTCGCTTGGCTGAGTGTTAGGCCTAAAGAGCACAGCAGCTCATCTCTGGTAGGTCTTACCCATGCATCAGTTGCAGAGACCAAAAGTCCCCCCTTCTCCACAGCCCTCTAAGTCAGGCATAGGCAAACTCGGCCCTCCAGATGTTTTGGGACTACAATTCCTATCATCCCTGACCACTGTTCCTGTTAGCTAGGGATCATGGGAGTTGTAGGCCAAAAACATCTGGAGGGCCTAGTTTGCCTATGCCTACTCTAAGTCCTCTCCACTCCAGGGCTTTTTCCGAGCCACTGGAGACTGTGCCTGAATGCAGCCAACTTCTCCTCTGCCCATTTCATCCATCTTCTGGTTCTGGGAGTCGGGGAGAGAGGGGAGCTTGTTTCAACAGGAAGGGGAAGCACTCATGACTCTTCACCAGCCTGACTCAACTCTGCCTCTTGGCTTCCCTCCTCCTACTCTCCTGCTTCAGCTTCTGCCTCTGATTCTGGACTACTCTCTGTCACGGTCTCTCCCAGCTCACTAAGTCCTGTTACCTGTTCAGCTTCTGACCCTTCCTCCTCCCAGTCTTCTCCCTCTTCTCCCTCTGACTACTCATTGTCGTCTCACTACCACTCCCTGGGCTCTGAGCCTTCTTCCCTTCGTGGTTCCCCAGCTGGTTCCTCCCACCACTCTTCTGTGTCCAAACAGTCCGTGACAGAGGTAGAAGACGCTTTTCACTTTGCCCATGTCTGCACTGTAATGAATAAATGTGCCCCCTCTTTTGCCAGTCCTTTCACAGTTCAGTACCCTGACTGTAGGAGAGATTGGCTTAATGCTTTCCTGACCTGATGTAGTCCAGCAACAGCTGGAGGGCAACTCCCATAATTCCTGACCATTGGCCATGCTGAATGGGGCTGATGGGAGTTGGTGTCCAAAGCAGCTGGAGGGAATGAGCTTGAAGAAAGCCAGTTGAAGGGGGATTATGGGGTCATTAGCCTGCATTAAAAATAAATAATAAATAATTTTTATTTATACCCTGCCCTTCCCGGTTCAAAAACCGGGCTCAGGGCGGCTAACAACAAATTTAAAACACTTTAAAACACTTAATTATAAAAGCAGCATAAAATACAGTATAAAAACATGAATAACAATAAAATTCAAAAATAAATTAGATAATCCCCAGGGCTAGCTGGATGAATTGGTCCTACTTGGGCCTGCAAGGAGGTCAGGGGAGAATTAGCTGTGGGGTCTCAGAGTGGGTGATCTTCATAAAAGGGAGGGAAGAGAAGAGAAATAAAAGATCAGGCTGAATTCAGATTAAAGTCCAGGCGGAATAGCTCTGTCTTACAGGCCCGATGGAAGGAGGTTAAATCCTGAAGGGCCCTAGTCTCATGGGACAGAGCATTCCACCAGGTCGGAGCTATCACTGAAAAGGCCCTGGCCGTGGTGGAGGATAGTCTGACTTCCTTATGGCCCGGGACCTCTAAACTATGGTTATTCATGGACCTTAAGGTCCTCTGCGGGGCATACCAGGAGAGGCGGTCCCGTAGATTAAGTGATCTTGAAGATGCAGTCATAGTTAGGAAACGTATTCCTACTGGTCTGTATGTCCCAGCTTCTGGACCAGGCGTAGGCAACCTAAGGCCCCTGGGCCACAAGCAGCCCACGGGGGACGTTTAACCAGCCCATGAGCTGCCCCCAAACCAAACCAAACTGCTCGCTTGGCGAGTCCCCACATGCTGTGCTAAACTGGCGCGGCACGGGGACCCTCTTCCACGGCGCCAGAAATCGCGTCTGCGCAGATGCAGACGCCGGAAATCACACACACACACACACACACACACACACACACACACACGTGATCCGGCCCACGGGGGGATCTCCACTGGAGTGAACCGGCCCAGGCAAGGTAAACCTTGCTGACCCCTGTTCTAGACAGTCCTTGGAGTCCTTTACACCTGTGCTTCCTCCTCTACACCACTTTCCTTCCCTGTTCAGGAGAGGTAGGCAATCTCCACGCCTCACGGCTCCATTAGTCTTGTTTGAACTCCAGCCAGAGCGTTTGTGTTCTAGCACACATCGGATTGATTTCGGAAGCTATTCAAACCCACGGGGCTTTGCTTTTGTGAAATAGCTCCCGTTTTAATTCCACTACCTGTGCCAGAGAAGGTTTTAACAACTTGCCTCCACGCTGCGCAGAACTGGCCTATAACACCTTTTGTATTTAAATCAGTTTTACAATTGAGTAAGCAAAAGCACCAAGAGACCACAGTGTTCACATTAAAAAGAAGGGCCATTAATTTTCATTTTCAATTTGGGAGCAAATTGAGTTTGTATAGATGTACGCATGCACATTCTGGCCAAACCGAATACAAACAAGCCGCCTTGCTGTCTGCAGCTTCCATTCTTCTAAAGGTTGTAGGCACTTTGAAATGCGAGTTCTGTGTACATACATAGATAGATATGTCTTTCTCATGCAGGAAAATGG